AAAGTGCATTCTTGTTTCAGGATAGTGTGAGTGTAGGGAGTGCTTTGGATGAAAGTGCTCTGAGATCAAGTCTTCTCTCTACCATTCAGTACTTGATGTGTCCAACAGGGAGGCACTGGACCTCTCTGAGCTGCACTTTCCTTGGTATTAACATGTGACTAAAAATTGCCTATGGTGAATCACTGTTGTGATATTTAATTGAATAACCAAAAGGCCCAGGGAGAGCACAGTTTTTGGAAATGATGGAAAAACCTTCAGGCAGTCCATATTAGCAGGTTTCCTGCTCTACATATGTATAAATAAGGAGCTTTGGTTTTATGCAAATAATTTCCCCCAATGCCTCTGGTTCCCATCTTGCTTCTGTGGCTGGTAAAAGAAAAGGGAGGAATGAGAAAAGGTGTGTCACCTTACAATCCCATCTTTCTTCCAGTCTCTGGCCTGCTGGTCTTTGGGAAGCAGAACAGAGAAAACTGATGTTCTGGAAAGAGAGGCTGAGAGACATACAGTCAGCCTACTAAATTTGCATAATCAGCTCCCTGAACAGAAGACCTACCGGGAAGAGCCAATGCTCCTGAATCCCACACCAACCAACATTTTGTTTTTTCAACTTAGAAAAACAAAGTCCACAAAAAAATCTTCAGGTTAGCGATTTCTGTAGAAATTTTACCAAAACACACCCTGCAGGAGCTGATTTTATGTCACAGTCTGGAGAAGTCTGGGGCTTCTAGTTTGTTCCTGAGAATTGTGCTGTGTAGACTCTGCTTTCCAGGTAAGGATTCATCTAACAAGGAAAAGCTGCTGCTCTCCAGTTTCTTACTTCAGGGTTGTGCAACTTTTACTTCCTAAGTTAGGCTTATTTCTAGGTCTTTTACACTTGTGTGACTACCGTGATTGGGATGACTTTCCTGATTTCTTTCTCCAGAGTTCAGTACTGGTGCATAGAAAAGCTACTGAGTTTTGAATGTTGATTTTTGTATCCTGTTACTTTACTGAATTTGCTTATCAGTTCTAAGTTATTTATTTATTTTCATGGAATCTTTAGGATTTTCTATGCATACAGTCACATAATTAACAAACTGGGATACTTTGGTGTCCTTCTTCTTTATATCCCTTTTCTTTCTTTCTCTTGCCTAATTGCTCTGGCTAGAATTTCTAGAACTATATTGAATAAAAGAGTAGTGAGAGTAGACAGCTTTGTCTCAGTTCTGATCTTAGAAGAAATGCTGTTTTCTTCCACTCAGTATGATATAGGCTATGGGTTTGTCTTCTACAGCATTCACTATACCTAATCCTTCTATACTTAATTTATGCAGGGCTTTTATCATAAAGAGGTGTTGAATTTTACCAAAGACCATTTCTACATGTATTGAGATGATTATGCAACTTTTTATCCTTGTTTCTATTTATCTGCAGGGTTATGTTTATTGATTCGCATTTGTCTAACATCTTTGCATTCCCGGCATGAAAGCAACTTGATCATGGTGTATGATCTTTTTATTGTGTTGTTGAATTCACCTGCAAGTATTTTATTGAGAGTTTTCGCATCACTGTTCCTCAGGGACATTGGCCTACTGTTTTTTGTTGTATCTTGAACAGATTTTGGTAACTTAATGCTGGGTTTGAATGAGTTTCGAAGGGTTCCTTTAATTTCTTTTTAATAGCCCCAAAAGGATTGGTGTTAATTCTTTTAAAGTCTGGTAAAATTAGCAGTGAATCCATTCAGACCTCAATTTTTAATTGTTTGGACACTTTTTTTTTTTTTTACTGTTTCAATCTCATGACTTGTTGACAAATTTAGGTTTTTCGTATCCTTTTGGTTAAATTTTGGTAGGTCCTATATGTCCAGAAATTTGTTCATTTCTTCCAAATTTTACAATTCATTGGCATATGGTTTGTCAAAATATTCCCTAATTATCCTTTGGATTTCAGTGGTTTCTATTTCTCTCTTCATCTATTATTTTATTTATCTGACTCTACTCTCTCTTCAAGCTCGTTTAGCTGTTGAGAGCCACGGCCAGGTCAAGATGGTGCCTGGCATTTTGCCAGAAGGGGCTGTTCCTGCTGCCTCCGGTGCCCGCTATTTTTGAGTTCCGGTTGAGCTCTCTAGGAGTACCTGGAAAGTTCGAGTGGGTGGCTGTCCTGTGAGTTCGAAAATAAAGTTCGTTCCTGCTTGAATCTACAAGTGGCTCAACCTCCCCGGTTATTTGTGCCCAGCCAGACTGTGGCATTTAGCTAAGAGTCTGTCAATTTTATCTTTCAAAGAACCAACTCTTTGTTTCATTGACTCTTTATGTTATTCTTTTAATCACTATTTTTTTAAATTTATGCTCTATTATTATGTCTTTCCTTCTGCAGATTTTGGCTCAGGTTCTACTGATTTCTTGTTTTTCTAAGATCTTGAGATGCGTAATTAGATTATTTGCTTGAGATGTCTTTCTCTCTCCCTCTCTCCTGCCTGCCTGCCTGACCCCCCACCTCTCTCTCTCTCTCTCTCTCTCTCTCTCTCTCTCTCTCTCTCTCTCTCTCTCTCTGGTGTAGCCATCATTGCTACAGTACTACTTTTGCTGTGTCCTGCAGTTTGACTCAAGGAATTTTTGTTTCCCTTCTGATTTCCTCAGTGACCCATTGTTCATTCAGTAGTGTCTTGATCCATACCCATGTGTCTATGTAAATTCTGAGATTTATTCTTGCTGTAGATTCATAGTTTCATTCCACTGTGATCAGATAAAAGAAATTACTTCATAGTTTTCAATTTGATAAAACTTGTTTTGTGGCCTAATATATGGTCTTTTGGGGCAAAAACTCCATGTACTGATGAAAAGAATGTGTATCTGCAGCTGTTAGATGGGATGTTCTGTAGATGTCTATTGAGTGATCTAATCTACCATGTAATTTAACTCATATATTTCTTGGTTGACTTTTTGTTCTGATGCTATTTATTGGTAATAGTAGGGTATTGAAGTTTTACACTATTAGTGTATTGGGGCCTGTTAGAGTCTGCAAACAAGTCTGGATGGCGCCTGGCAAATGTTAGAGTCTGTAAACAAGTCTGGATGGCGCCTTGCAAAATGCTAGAGGGAGTGTTTTGTGAAGTAACTCCAGCAAGCCATTAAGTGTGGAGATTCCTTATTGGTTGACTGCTTTATCTATTTTATGTTAATTAAGATAAGCTGTGTGGAATGTATAAATATCACTCCCGTCCTACAATAAACGGCTCCTACTCCTGCTGTATCAATCTACACAAGTTGTTCGTCACCCCCCGGCTATTTTGCTGCAGCCGGACTGCGGCAGGGGCCTATCTCCCTTCATATCTAATAGTATTTGTTTTATAAAATTGGATACATACACACGTGCAAATATAGATGTACATGAATATATGTGTGTGCACATACAGTGGTTTGTGCATATATATTTATGATCACTGTATTTCTTGATAAATTGTTCTCTCAATGAATACATGGTACCTTCTTTGTCTCTTCTGATTTTTGCCTGAAAGTCTATTTTGTCAGAAATAATAACCTCCCCTGCTTGCTTTGAATTCCACTTGCTTGGAATACTGATTTCAGTCCTCTCACTTGCACTCTTGTGTTATGGTTTGGATATCAGGCAACCCCCCAAAGCTCCTGTGTTAATGAGAAAAGTTTGGAGGTGAAATGATTGGATTGTGGGAGCTGGAACCTAATCAGTTTATCCTAGTTTGAAAGGGCTGAGTGGTAACTATAAGCAGTTGAGGTGTGACTGGAGGAGGTGAGTCATGCTCACACATTACAGGTGTGCCCTAGAGGGGTTCATCTGTGTCTCTTCCCCTTTCTCCCTGTGGTTTCCAGCCGCCCTGTCCTGATCAGCTTGCCTCGCCCATGTCCTTCCACCATAATGTGCTCCTTCACCTTGAGCCCAGAGCAGTGGAGTTAACGTACTATGAACTCAGTCTTTCAAACCATGAGCCAAAATAAACTTTCTCTCCCCTAAATTTTTCTTTTCAGGCATTTGGTCACAATGACATAAAAATGATGTCTGTTTGTCATTGCATTTGGGGTTAGTTTCTTATAGGCAGCACATTGTTTGGACCATATTTTCTAGATTAATTTAGCCAGTCTGTGTAAGTAGAGATTAAGACAATTTACATTCAGGGTTATTATTTGAAGGTATGTACTTATTATTGTTATTTGCATATTATTGTTATTGCATTTCCTTTTTGTATATTTTCATGTTCATTTCTTACTTTCTTATTCATCTTAAAAGTTTGATTTACATTGGCAAGTTGGATTCTTTCCTATTTCTTATTGTATGTCTACACTTCTTGTGGAATTTATTTTTTCATGTGCTCTTCTGATTGTGTTAATCTTTCTCTCCTTATGAATTTCCTTCAAGTATCTTTTGTCATGCTAGTCAGGGGTTCTTGAATTTCCTTAGTTTATGCTTATCTTGCAAGGTCATTGTTTCTCCTCCAATTATGATATAGCAATTTTGGCTGGGGTTATTTTCTTTCAGGACTCAAAATACATCATTCCCTTCCCTTCTGATCTTTAGATTTTCTGCTGAGTAATTTGCTGTTAGTCTAATTGTTTTGATTTTAAATGTGAATTGTTGCTTCTCCCTTACAAATTTTAATATCTTTTTCTGTATCCTGTACTTTTGGCAACTTCACTATAACATGCTGTGGAGAGTTTCTTTTCTAGTCATGTCTATTTGGGGTTCAAATGCCATTTTTACTTGGATATTTATGTCTTTCCCAAGATTTGAAAAAAATGTTCTGATATGATTTAGTTGGATAGGTTTTCAGTACTCTCAGACTGTAGCTTTTCTCTATCAAATATGCCAATGATGCAGACATTTGATCTTCTAATAGTTTCCCAGAGATCTTATATGTTCTGGCCATTCATGTATTGATTGTTTTTGTTCTTTCTATTGATATTGACTCTGTTACTTGAAAGAGATTCCAAATATAGTTAAGGGCCTGAAGCTCTTATGCTCTATTTAGATACTGGTGAAATTCCTTGTGTTCCATGTGGGAAGGTGAGGGCAGGTCCACAGCTCCTGCTCTTTATCATGACTCACCTAAAGTGGTCAGTGATGTACAATCTACAAGGTGTGAAACTGACCCGTGAGGAAGACCCTTATAGGCATGGTGGTCACAACAGTCGTGTTATTTCTGCCTGAGGTTTTTTGAGGGTTTTGTGGGTGTGACTGCCCTCAAAAACAGTTATGGGGGCGGTCAAACTCCCCTAGCTGTGCCCACTGAAGACAAGATTTGGCCCCTTGGGCTTTCTGCGTTTCAGTTGAAGTGTGTGCAGGGGTAGGTCATGACTGGAGCAAAGGGTACTGGGCGCGTCGCTCAGTGGCAGAGCACCCATCCGATATTTGTGAAACTCGAGCTCAGTTTCTGGCACTTTAAAAAAAAGCGTTGAAAAATAAGATGAAGAACAACAAAAGACTAACAACAGTAAAGAAAGGGGGAATGAAATTAAATGAAAAGATAAAACATTTAAAATTGAAATTGAACGAGAAATAAAAGAAAGTAGAAACATGAAAAGGGGAAATGGATAAAAAGAGAAAAAAATTACAAAGAGGAAAAAAGAAAAAGGTATAAATAATAATTTCCTCCCCACCAGAGTGCTTGATTGAGGTGGGGGAGGAGGAGAATGAATAATAACCATCTATCCTGATAAAAGATTCTCTCTGTGTCTTCCTACGCTGTGTTGCCCATGGACAGAGCAAAGGCTAGAGGTGACTCAACCCCCAGTTGTTTCTGCTGTGATGCTTTCCAGGTGACTGGTGGCACTGATTTTTGACTGAACATTAATTGGAATTTCTCTCAGCTTATATAGAGAAGGAAGCCAAGGATTCCAAAGATTGAGGATTGCAAGTTGAGGGCAACCTGGACAAATTTGGCAAAATCCTATCTCAAAATATTTGCTTACCCCATCAAAGTAACAATGACCTTCTTCATAGAACTAGGGAAAAGATCAGTCCTAAAATTCATTTGAAAGAATTAAAGACCCAGAACAGCCAAAAGCAATTCTAAGTTAAGAAAGTAAAGCTGAAGGCTTCACAATACCTGACCTCAAATTATACTACATAGCTATAGTAACAAAAACTGCATGATATTGACATAAAAACAGACACATAGATGAGTGCTACAGAATATAAGGCACAAAGACAAACCCACACCCTACAATCATCTGATCCTTGACAAAGATGCCAAGAACACATATTGGAGAAAAGCAACTTAATCCCAAAAGATTCACCTGAATATTTTTCTAAATGTTAGTTAAAGTAAATGTACCTTTAATGGATGAAATTTACAATAGCATATAAAAGAGAAAAGGAAAAAAATTTCAGGAAGAGAGCCCTTAGCTTTTGGCCAATCTCATCCTTCCTTGTGGGTTGATGAGGATTTTGGTTAAATAACACCAATAAAAGGCCCTGAACAAGGTCTTAGGTTCGATAGGAGCCCAGAACTTGATATTCTTGTCTCATCGGCCTTCTAAGAATTGGAACCTCAGAACCTTCATGGTGCTTTTTCAAACTCCTGTGCTTCACAGCAAAGCTAGGAATCCAAAGTGACTGTACCATGATACAGTCATATCAGTGTGTATAGCAGCTCAATTCACAATAGCTAAACTGAAAACAACCTAGATGCTCTTAATAGATGAATGGATAAAGAAACTGTGGTACATAGACACAATGGAATATCACTCAGCATTAAAAGAGAATAAAATTATGGTATTTCCAGGTAAATGGATGGAGTTCGAGAACATCATACTAAATGAAGCAAACCAATCCCAAAAGACCAAAGGCCGAATTTTTTCTCTGATATGTGGATGCTGATCCAGATTGGGGGTTGGGAGCTACAAGGGAAGGGAAGAATAGAGAGACTTTGGATTGGGTGGAGGGGAATAAGGGAAGGGGAGGGGCAGGGGAGTCGGAAATATGGTGGAATGAGAAGGACATCATTACCCTATGTATGTATATGATTGCACACGAACGATGTGACTGTACATTGTATACAACCAGAGAAATGAGAAGTTGTGCTCCATATGTGTACAATGATTTGAAATCATTCTGCTGTCGTGTATAACTAATTAGAACAAATATAAATGAATAAATAAAGTGACTGTCACTTCTCTCAAGGCAGTCATTTTAAAAATGGCAAGATTCATCTTACTGTGACTTACTAAGTTTCAGGTAAAGTTGTGTGGATCTAGAACCTGTTGGTTTAGCATGGCCACAGTCTGAAAGTCTGTGTATCCACCACATTCATATGTTGAAAGCCAGCCTCCAAGTTTATAATATTAGGAATTGGGGACCTTTCGGTAAGGCCCTCGTGAACATGAATTGTGTCTCTTTTAAGGGATTAGTGTCCTTTTAAGAGAAACCCCTGAGAGCAAATTTGTTCCTTTAGCCATGGCATGACACAGCTAGAAGGTGCCAGAAAGCAGGTACTCACCAGACACTGAATCCATTTGTGTCTTTGTCTTTGGCTTCCAGGGATCCTGAAGTGTAAGAAATGAGTTCCTGTTGTTTATAAGCCATCCCGTTTGTGGTGCTCTGTTGTGTAGTCCGGACAGATGACAACAAGCATTTTCCCATTTGTGACTTTTCTTGTTGTAGTTGCTGTCTCTTGAGGCTAAGATTCCTGCCAAGATGCTCCACTTGCAGGGTCCACAGATGCTGCAGCTGCTGGAGAAGTCCTTGCTGAAGCACCTCCCTGAGTCCTTAAAGGTGAGAGTGGGACATTCTCTGGGAAACAGAGAGCTGCATCTTACGATGACAGAGGTGGGAAAGAACACAGCTTTTACTGAGCACCTATGCAGTGTCAGGAATGCACTTGTGCTGTACCTCAGGAAGTTCATATCACCCCTTTGAAGGGATCCGCATTACACTCATATCCAAGAAGAGGAAACAGGTTTCACTAAGGTGAAGTCAATATAAAAAAATATATATATTGCTCAGCATACTACAGGGACACAGCCACATCAGTGTTTACAGCAGCACAGTTCTCAATAGCTAAATGGTGAAACCAACCTAGATGCCCTTCAGTTGATGAATAATTAATGAAAATGTGCATATATATACAATGGAATACTATTCAGCATTAAAAGAGAATAAAATCAGGGCATTTGCAGGTAAATGGATGGAGTTGGAGAATATAATGCTAAGTGAAGTTAGCCAATCCCCAAAAAACCAAATGCCAAATGTTTTCTCTGATTTAAGAATGCTGATTCATAGTGGGGGAGAGGAGCATTGGAGGATTAGATGAACTATAGATAAGGCAAAGGGGTGGAAGAGGAAGGAAGGGTGTATAGGGGTAGAAAAGATAGTAGAATGAGATGGACAGATTACCCTAAGTACAAGTATGAAGACACAAATGGTGTGACTCTACTTTGTATACAACCAGAGATATGAAAATTTGTGCTCTATATGTGTACTATGAATTGTAATGCATTCTGCTGTCATACATAACAAATTAGAATTTTAAAAAGAATAGGCCTATTGATCAAAACTGTTACCCATATAATATAGCCATATTGAATAATTTCAATCATTTGAAGTCCCTGTGGTCATAAAATGTAATGAGGTAAACAGAAAATTCAAAACTATATTCTACAGGAACAGAGGCTATGTCAATAAAAAATACACCTTCAGATCATATTTTGGAAAGGTTTTTAATTTTATTAATTTTAAAAAGCTATCAATTTTCTCTCATTCTTAGCTAATCAAAAGGTTTATCTGGTTTAAATATATCTGCTAGTAGACCTTTGAATGAAAGGTCTTTACCCTTGCATTATGATAATATTATTTCAATTGTTTTCTGACAGAGAAGTTTGCTATTATTCTAATTAACATTTATTGGTTGGAAATATGGTTTTAAAAATTCTATTTATTCTCTTCATATTTAATATTTTGCAATTTTGTCAAAGTCTTTCCATTTATATATATATTAAACACAATATATACATATATATACGTATATATCTTTGCTAACTAAAAATACTGGGGTTCAGTAGCGCACACCTGTAATTACAGCAGCTGAGGAGGCTGAGGCAGGAAGATGGAAGTTCAAAGCCAGCCTTTGCAATTTAGTGAGGCCTTAAGCAACTTAGCGAGACCCTATCTCTAAATAAAATATTAAAAAGGGCTGGGAATGTGGCTCAGTGGTTAAGCACCCCTGAATTCAATCCCCAGTAACAAAACACAAACAACAACAACAACAACAACAAACAAAACAAAACAAAAAAACCAACACCAAAAAAATTCACTGTTGGGCTGGAGATATAGCTCAGTTGGAAGAGTGTTTGCACAAGGCCCTGGGTTCACTCACCGCTACACCCCCCAAATGTCACTGTTTACTTTCAAAGAATCTTTCACAACGACACTGGAAATTTCCTGATTCTTCTTTAAAAGGTTGACTTAAGTACATAATAATTTTTAGAGATTTGTGTCAGATGAGAAGCTAACTACCATGTATTTTCTTGGAATAGGTCACATCTTATTTCATTAAAATGAAAAAATAAAAATAAATAAATAAAAGAGGGAGACCTAGAAATGATTATACAATGCAACAAATTTGTTGCAAAAGGGTTTGATTATGCACCTTTTACTTATTTTACATTTTCTAACATTTGGTCAATTATGAAAGTAGTAACTTATTAAAAAAAATCTCTTTCTTCCAATTAAAATTGGAGCTAAATTTATTCAGAAGAGGCCAGCACCAGAGCCAACTGGGACTCCAGGGACAGAAGCAGTGGTAACAACAGCAAGCTCTTACTTGGCATTACCATATACCATCCACTGGGCTTTATTTATTAATTCATATGAACTTAAAAACACTCCCAGGAAAAGGATATTGCTGTTCTCCCTGTGTTGAACAGGATGGGTTTAAGGCAGCGAGAACTTGAATCACTTGCCCAGCTGGGGCTAGAAATAGAATTCACACAGTCCATTTCAACTCCCCTTAGCCCACTTCAACTCTCATTTGAGCAAAACAGGAGTCCAAATCCCAAATTCTGGCCAAGAATTCAGAGAAAATGGATCACTAATTTGTTGCTAATGGAAATTTGAAATGGTACAGCCGTACCAGAAAAAGGGTTTGCAAGTTTCTTTAAAAACTAAACACGTAACTATTCTGCAGCCAGCAATTACACTCCCGAGCCTTTGCCCCAGAGAAATGCAAGTTAATATTCACACAAACATAAATACATGAATGTCTATAAGAGCTTGATTTGAAATAGCAAAAACTGGAAACAACCCAGATGTTCTCCAGG